AAAATTTCTTTTGCTTTTGTCATGTTAAGCTGTTAGTATCTGAGCTTCTCAATTTCAAATCGTAGAAAATTATGAGATTTTAGAAGGGGATTTGTTAAACGAAGTCCTAGAAGCAGAAACAATGCCTGTAAATCTCAAAGGATATAGGCTCTAACGCTCTATTTGGCAAACTAGCTGATAATCTAGTTGTTGGCTTATAAGCTAGTTGATGAATTAGTCATGTTTTGGTGAAAATTAGCTCATATGCTAAATGAAAACGTAAAATGATCTAAAAGGACATGTTGAATAATTATTTGAAAAAAAATATACGAGGGACGTAATTGGAATATTTTAATGGAAAATAGTCTCTGGAGAAAAGCTAGTTTAAAACGAGTCTTTTTCAATAAGTGGTTTTTTATAGCAATATGGATAATGGTGGTGTTACAAGAATATGTGACCAATTATTGTGTGTGGTTTGCTGATGCTTTTAAGATTTCTACTAGCAAAGACCTTTTATAGCTGATCAAGATTACTGGCTTCTTAATTCTCAGAAAGGAGTGCCACTGCATGCTTTTCCTCACTCCTGAAAATGATTTTGCTGGCAAAGAGCAGGTAATACCATCTATAACTTCTTTCTACTATAAAAGTCAAGAAACCACAACAGTTTCAAGTAAATTACTTTAAGGACCCGTTTGGTTTGCGGGATTTGATGGGATTTGGAGTTGGATTCCATTCCAATTCCGCAGTTGGTTTAAAGGAAAGTTTGGAAATGAAACCGATGGAAATCCCACAAACATAAAATTTAAAATTCCATAGGGTAGTTGGTACTTCACAGGATTTCATGAGAATTTTTTAATGAAGGTAATTTAATTTATAAACTACCTATAAATCAAACAGCCCATAAATTCCAGTTTTTTCCATGAAATCCAAATTCTTCAAAAACATTCCGTCAAACCAAACTCCCCCCTAAGGGTGCTTTGGGTACACAGACGGATAGGATAAGTCTGTACTAGTAAGGTAGGCGGGTGAAATAATTCTGGAAGGTTATAGGGTTTTAAACTGATATGAGTGGTTTAGTAATTTACCATTCTCGTCTCCTCTCCTCTCCCGATTTTTGTTCCACCTATTTTGACATGGCAAAAAAATGCATTTTTGCCACACTTAGGTGGCGTTTGTTTTTTAAGAGGTGCTGAAGTCTGATTTAACTTCTGATTTATAAGAGGTGGTTCTGAAGTCTGAAATCTGGATCAGTAAAAGTGTTTGTTTTTACATCTGAAGTCTGAAATTTGAATCAGTCAAACTAGTGCAAAAATATAAAAGATAAATAGTTTTTGCTAACAAATCTCTTTCAGCCCCCAAAATAAGAACCATTTGATGGAGGACGGATTAGGATTAAGAGGTATTAAAGGATACGTTTACCACTTAAAATTTCAGAGGACATTCAGAGCTTTTAAGTTTAGAAATAAAGCAAACGCTCTTAATATCCAAACGTCTGAACGAATCAAACTTCAGAGGTATTAATAGGTAATTTTGAAAAAACAAACAGACCCTTAATTCTTGTCGTGTCCCAGTCTAACGTCAAGTTTTTGTACCGTCCTTCCCTCGTCTTCCGTTCTATGATTGAAGACTCCATGTATCTTTTTGCGTCATCTTATCTTACCAAATTGTATAACCTCTTCCTGCAGATCATTTCTATGGAAGAAATCAAAGAATCAACTGCCAACATGTAGTGAGGTTTCTTCCTCCTTTTGGTACACTCATTACATGTATAATTTTGTATGCTTTATATCATATTAAGCTATCCATCAATCTGGCTGTATCTCATCCTCACATTAACAAAGAAAAACCAAGAAAAATAAACCAAAAATCAGAACATGCAAAGCTTTTTAAACACTACACTATGGCCGACAGTGTAAACGAGCTGAACCGAGTCGAGTACGAGGTTGTTCGAGCTCGGCTCGAAAAAATCATACCAGGCTCGAGTTCGACTGAGCTCGAATATTTTTTGAGTTATCGAGCTCGATAATATGGGCTCGTTCTCGCAATTGATTAAGTTGTTTATTGACTCGAAATTGATAATTTTTTTATATTTTTATTGTATTTTTTTTATGAACATATGAGCATGTTTGGATTGAAAATATAAATGCTCGAGTGGCTTGGCTCGTCCGGAAAATTTAATCGAGCTTTCGAACGAGCTGTGTCGAACATTGGTTTTGTGAAGCTCGATTTGGTAAGTTAAACGAGTTTTATTCGAGTTCGAGCTCGAGAATAATTATGTTCAGGCTCAAGATAAATGAGTTTAAGCTCAAGTAACTCGTTAAATGTTGGACTTATTTATACCCCTACCTTACACACAGTTTTTGGGTAGATGGTAGGTTTGAAAATATCTACTTATAACTGGGGCCCTAATTATAAATAGGATATACAGAAATTGTCCCAAATAGCTGTATTGTGCTCTTCAATTCATTTTATAATTGTAACTTTAGTGAGACTATCGCTTTCAGATTTTTTAAAATAAAGAATTAAAACTTAAAATTTGAAAAATTCGATTTTGGATATTATAATATTATTATTAAAATACTATATATATATATATATATATATATATATATATATATTAGAAAGGTATTCGTGCAATGCAATGAGATACATTTTGATTTTAGTATTTTTTATTATTATTTGTCTCTTCGATGTTATAATACGGTTTTATGTGGTTTTGAAAAAATAATAACATTTTTTTTATTTTGAATAAAATTTAAATTTTAAAATATCATAAAAAAAAATTTAAAAATATATATTGAAATTAATATCAAATTAACTATTTAAAAATTCTTTTTTTTTGAATAATTTCTTTAATTTAATATTTTTTATTATAATTTAATTTAGAATTAATAACGAACTAATTTGTTTTTAGTTTAATAATATTTTTTTATAAAAATAATAATTAAAGTATTGTGTTAGAATTCAATGATTATCTTTATTATATTTTAGATTTTTTATATTTAAAATTAGATGTTTATCCTGTATTTAGTTATGTTTATCTGCAGTTAGCTACATGAATTTAAACATATAGTTTTAATAAGTTGTATATATATAATTTACTTGTAATCTTGAATTTTAAGTAACGTGCATCAATAAACAGTATTTTATGTATAAAAATAATTTTTAAGAGTTTTTATGAAATATTTTATGATACTAGATATGTAATAAAAATATTATCTCTTTTCATACACATTTAAATATTAATTTTTATTTGTAAATATAATAAAAAATTATTTCTCCCAAAGTCTCTATTTTGGGCAATGTGTTGAAGATCTTCACAATTAATTGAAATAGTCAAGATTTTATAAGTATCATGTGAAATCTACTTTTATGAGTTTAATATTCATAAAGTAGCATTTTAAGAAGTTGCTAAAATGTTACTTCCAAAATGTTGACATGACGAGTAGACTTTAGCAGGTTGTGTAAGCGGTTTTTCCACATCAGCATTTCGCAAGTAGCAATAATTTAACCACAAGGATGGTGCCCTATTGTTTTAAATTTGGACCCAAAAGATCAAAAGTGTCGGGAGGTCTCAAGTCCGGGCGGTCCGGGGGGGACCACCGTGGCTCCTCTCTTCTCGAGAATCCATACATCCCTTATCAGTGTATGGACAGCTATCTCTCGAGCACAGGTTTAGGTTCGGCCTCAATGGGAAAATAAAATGGAATCCAAGGCGGAATAAAAAAATTCTCTTGTAGCTACGGAAGGTCAAAAGCACTGACTCCGGAGTACCCGTAAAGTAGGTGGTCGTCTTCGGATTAGTTGGCTCATGTAGCGGGTTGGATATCCACATTAATTAAAAAAAAGTAGCAATAATTACTTATTTATAAATATTATATTCATAAAAGCTGGACTTTGATAATTATTAAAGTTTTACTCACGAAATCTTGGTTATTTCATTTAATTATTTAAAAATACAAATATAAAAAATGAATAACGATTCTCGAATGATCGGTTTCGATTTTGTTTGAGGATTACGGATTTGAAGGATCAAGGGTTTATATGGAATTTGAGTTTAAGAGAGAGAATATAATATTGATTATTGGTTGTTATCATATAATCATGTGGCATTTATGATTAGGTTATGTTTTAAGGAATAATAAATGGACGAAAAAGCCCCTGCCGTGAGTGTTTCAATGGCTGACACGTGTAGGGGTAGTGGGGGGTCCACGTAACATGGTGATATAGTATGATTTGGAAGCATGGCATTCAAAATAATGACCCATCCAACACAAACCTTTCTGTCATGCCTCTGTCCATTTCCATCCCTCGCTTTCATTCACCCTAAGCTTTTTATAGGAAAATCCATTGAAATATAAGCAGCATATTTTAAGAAATATAAAACAAAAACACATTCAATTATAACTTGATTTTTATTTTGGGTAATAGTATTTTTAAAATTTTCATTTTGATATTTAGGATGTAAAGTTTTAAACATTTAAGTACTCGGGTAATCGATTAAAACATTAACACGTTGTGAGAATAGAAATGTTTGAATCACTACAATTTTATAAAGAATACTACAGGATTTATATATATATATACTATATTTGGTCTTAAAAAAAACAAAATATTAATGAAAATCGCCCCCGATGTCTCGTCAAATCGTTGTGACATAAGTTGTCTTCACTGGAAGATGAAACAGAGGTCAAAATCGCCCCCATGGGACGATTTGGACAAAATAAGGGCGATTTTGTGTATATCATATATAATATCTAATTTTTGTTCCCCAAATAATATACATGTTGGACTCATGCGTACATTATAATTAAAATCGCCCTCTAGGGGCGATTTTGGTGGTCATTTTGTGAAATATCTGAAAAGTGGTCATTTTGTTAGCGTAGCGTGTATAAAATGGTCATTTTGGGTAAGTTCTCGTCTAAATTTGGAGAATTTCATCATCTATCTTCTACATTTTTCATTTTGAAAAATGTTTTGAATAATATATTAGTGAAAAAATCTCCATTTTAGAGAATTTGTTCCAGATACTCTTACATTAAAGTCACAATGATATTTCTTATAAGAAACTCTTTTGTGGATCACATGTAGTTTCTTACCGATTAGACACCACATTTGTGGTTGTTTGGATTAGTTTACGACGATAGCAAACATAATAAACTGATAAATTATTTTTTATTATTAACAAATTTTGCTTATACATGTAAAATAACTAAAATGACCTTATGAAAATCAAACAAAACCTATTTCTCCATTTCTCTCTCATAATTCTTACACTTATCATTTTAACTTTTCTTCTCACACAATCATTTGAAGCTTTTTAATTATATATAATCAATTAAATTATATTAAATTAAGGAGCAAAAACAGGATAATGGAATAAAACATATGGACCGACAACTTAGACCTCCATCCACCGCGATTAGTGGTATTCTGCAAAAGGAAAGTGGCGCGTCTATTTCACGCGCCGCCGTCCCGCAATTCAATAAATCAACCCCAATTCCCTTTTCTTCTTCCCATTTCTGTTGCCATTCGAGCTCCAAAGCTTCAAAGCTCTGTTCCAACTGGCACATCAATGGCGATCAGACCAAACTCAATGCTTTTCATTGTTTCCTTTTTAATCTTCATCGTATCTTCACACTCTCAGCAGCTAACTACCAGTTACTACCAGAGAACGTGCCCTAGATTTGATCAGATAATGCAGGATACCACCACCAACAAGCAGATCAACTCCCCAACCACCGCCGCCGCCGCTCTCCGCCTCTTCTTCCATGACTGTCTAGTCGAAGGCTGCGACGCTTCCGTCCTTATCTCCTCCACAAACTTCAACAAAGCCGAACGTGACGCCGACATCAACCTCTCCCTTCCTGGCGACGGATTCGACGTCGTCGTTAGGGCTAAAACCGCACTCGAACTCGCCTGCCCTGGCGTCGTCTCCTGCGCCGATATCCTCGCCGTCGCCACTCGGAATCTCGTCACCATGATGGGCGGACCTTTCTATAATGTGAAACTAGGTCGTAGAGATGGATTGGTCTCGAGAGCTTCACGAGTCGAAGGCAATCTCCCTCGACCTACCATGGCCATGGATCAACTCATCGATATCTTCACTTCCAGAGGTTTTTCAGTTCAGGAAATGGTCGCATTATCCGGCGCTCACACCATCGGATTAAGCCATTGCAAGGAATTCAGCTCAGAGATCTACAATTACAGCAGAACATCTGAATTCGATCCGTCGTTCAATCGTAGATACGCCGAGGGTTTACGATCTGCTTGTGTAGATTACCACAAGAACCCCTCCCTATCGGTATTCAACGACGTCATGACCCCAAGGAACTTCGATAATGCGTATTACCAAAACTTGCCGAGAGGACTTGGAGTGTTGAAATCGGACAGGGCGTTGGTAATGGATCAGAGAACAAAGCCGTATGTGGAGTTGTACGCTAAGGACCAAAAGGCCTTCTTTGATGCATTTGGTCGAGCAATGGAGAAGCTCAGTTTGTATGGTGTGAAGAGTGGCCGGAGAGGAGAGATCCGGCGCCGGTGCGATTCCTTCAATTAGGTCAGATTTTGGGGTTGATGTCCAAGATAATGTTCCTTAAATTCTCTCGAATTTGTTATTTTTTGAAGGAAGAACCTCATATAATTTGTATACTTGTATCTTTATCTTCGATAATTAAACAATAAGATTTTCAACTTATGTAGCTTTGTCAATTTGATTCATGTCTTTTGATCTATCATCCATAGTGATATATTATCCAATTCGACTTCTGATTTTACTTGAATCAAAAGATGGATTTGGTTTTATTGATGTCAAAATTTCACCAAAGAACAAGAAGTTAGAACAGTTTGCTACAAGGGAAAACTAGCACCCACACACACAAACCCTGTAGCTTCAGCAGTAACCATGGCTCAAGATGGTCGAAAACCAAACCTCAAATCACTTGTTTGACCAGAAGGAGCAAAAGTGCAACACCTGCAAGGCCCATGATCCCAGACTGCACCAAAGAATGTGTAGTCGGTGTGTTTGATGGTGGAGGAGCCGGCGCCCAATCTGCCGCAGCCACAATCGATGCAGCAAGAGCAACACAAATGAGGAAAACAACAGCAATCTTCTGGTATCCCATTAATTTCTTGTGTGATAAATTTCTTGTTTGATGGAAATTACTATCACCCAGCTGGGAAGATTGCTTCTGATGAGTTCTTGATTGCTATATGTGCTCTGCTTGTGTGGGTGTGTGTGTGTGTGTGTGTGTTTATGTATATATACACACAAATACACTCATATATGTATATACCTAGGAAGATTGTAACTGACCCATCATCCTACCAATAGGTTCTTGAATTCAAGATCGATAATATCAAGAGTCTGATTATTGTCTTCTTCGATATGCCAAGGATTTACAGATTCATATAGTAGAATAAGAAAGCCAAATGGCATGAAGAAAGGTTATAACTTGCTGGCCAGGCCGGTGTCAATAACAAGAATCAGGACTTTAAGGATCGAGTACGAGAGGGGATTGATTTTGGATTTGATTATTTGCGATTTGAAGTCTAAATAACAAAAATTAGTCTTTTATTGATTGACAACCCTATTTTGGATTTGGATTTTCTGATCTTTAGTATGCCATAATGATTATATTCTTAGATGTATGCAAGTCGAATTACTCGTGCTTAGTTTTGTTGTTGTCATTGTTGAACGAGTCAGGAAAGTTTTCAAACCATACTGAACATGATTCGAATGGTGCACCATGGTTGAAACCATTTGCTGATAACAATCGGATATCAGAAGACAAAACCAATTTATTTGCATAATCTTAATTAATTATATATCGATTTCCTCATTTGGGAAACTAACATGAACTAGGAATCGGAGCTCTTCAAGGGCACATTGGTCTGCCTGCTTGAGTTTTCATATCGGTGTAGCACTGGCCACAGACCTCTTTCTTTCCGTAAGGCCCGGGTGGAACACAGTTGCATTGGTGACAACATGCCATGCAATCTCTCTTACATATCTCCTGCTTTGAATGTAGCTCACACCTTGACACACATGCTGGATAACATCCTACAATTGCACCATTATACATAGTTAAGAACAGTTTCTTGGAACTAATTAGGATCAACTTGAAATGTTACCTTGTGGTGGGGGCGGTGGTGGTGTAACGACTGGCGGAGCATTGTTGCAGGGTGGCGTTGGAGTTGGAGTTGGAGTTGGAGTAGGTGGAGGGATTGTAGGTGGTTGAATTGGGGTGGTGCAAGGTGGTGTGCCTGGAGTAGTGGGGGAGGGTAGCTGAGCAGGTGGTGGAGATGTGGTGGTGGGAGAATTAGACAACGGTGGAGCGGTGGTGGGTGAGTTAGCGGCTGGTGGAGTTCTCACAGGTGGGGGAGCTCCGGCAGGTGGTGTAGAAATAGGTGAATTAGCTGGTGGAGTTGATGTTGGTGGTGTAGAAATAGTGGGGGTGGTGGTGGGTGAATTGGGAAGTGGTGGAGCTACGGTGGGTGTCATTGCATTTGGTGGAGGTGCTGGTTGTTTAGAAGGTGGAGAGATTGTGGGTGAATTAGCAACCGGTGGAGCGGTGGAAGGTGTCATGGCAGGTGGTGGAGGGTTGGGTGAATGCGCAAGTGGTGGAGGGACGGTGGCGGGTGTTGTAGGTACTGATGGAGCTGCGATGGTGGTGCAAGGTGGCAAACCTGGAGGAGTTGGTGGTGGGTAGCCAAATGGTGGAGCGACGGTGGGCGGCGTAGGAATGGATGGAGGGATTATAGGTGGATTACCGGGAGTTGGAGAGGGAGTGGGTGGTTTAGGAATGGACGGTGGGATTGCAGGTGGGCTACCAGGAGGTGAAGCGGGAGTGGGTGGTTTAGGAATCGACGGAGGGTATGTAGGTGGATTACCGGGACTTGGAGTCGGAGTGGGTGGTTTAGGAATTGATGGAGGGTGTGTAGGTGGATTACCATTCCCGGGAGTTGGAGCGGGGGTGGGTGGTTTAGGGATGGATGGAGGGTATGTAGGTGGACTACCAGGTGGATTAGGAATAGACGGCGGGATTGTAGGGGGATTGCCAGGAGTTGGAGTGGGTGGTTTGGGAATTGACGGAGGGTATGTAGGTGGATTACCGGGAGTTGGAGTGGGGGTGGGTGGTTTAGGGATAGATGGAGGGTACGCAGGTGGACTTCCGGGCGTTGGTGGTTTAGGAATGGATGGAGGGTGTGTCGGTGGATTGCCTGGCGTTGGAGCTGGAGTGGGTGGTTTAGGAATAGATGGCGGGATTGTAGGTGGACCACCAGGAGGTGGATTGCTCGGAGTTGGTGGTTTAGGGATAGACGGAGGGTGTGTAGGTGGATTACCAGGAGCTGGTGGTGTAGGGATGGACGGAGGGTATGTAGGTGGATTAGGAATGGACGGAGGGTGTGTAGGTGGATTACCGGGAGGTGGAGCGGCAGTGGGTGGTGTCGGGATGGATGGAGGGTATGTAGGTGGATTACCAGGAGTTGGAGCGGGAGTGGGTGGTTTAGGAATGGACGGAGGGTATGTGGGTGGTGTAGGGATGGACGGTGGGATTGACGGAGGGTATGTAGGTGGATTACCGTTCCCTGGAGTTGGAGCGGGGGTGGGTGGTTTAGGGATGGACGGAGGATATGTAGGTGGACTACCGGGAGGTGGAGGAGGGTATGTAGGTGGATTATGGGGAGGTGGAGTGATGTTGTTGCATGGTGGAGTTCCCGGGGTGGTAGGGGGATTAGGAGATGGTGGAGCAATTATCGGTGGTGTTGAAGGCGGTGGGGTGATTGTGGGTGGTGTTGCAGGCGGCGGGGTGATTGTGGGTGGTGTTGCAGGCGGTGGGGTGATGGTGGGAGGTGCTGCAGGGGGCGGGGTGATGGTGGGTGGTGTTGCAGGTGGTGGGGTTCTTGTGGGAGGTGTTGCYGGTGGTGGTGATGGGGTGATTCCRGGTGGTGTTGAAGGTGGATTAGGACTTGACGGAGGTGTTGCCGGTGGTGGTGATGGGGTGATTCCGGGTGGTGCTGAAGGTGGATTAGGACTTGACGGAGGTGTGGTACATAATGGCGTTATCGGAGGTGCAGCGGGCTGCGGCGGTGAAGGCGGAGGAAATGGAATTATAAATGGAGTTGGTAAGTTAATACGTGCAACCTGTAACCAAATAATAATTGATCAATTATGCTTAACATGAAAACATACCTTACTTTCCCCACACCCACACACACACACACACACACATATATATATATATACACACCCACACTGTTTTTTCATTTACAAATCCAACATTTAGATTGGTTTGTATGGTTTGTACTAATTTATTGAGTCATATATTTTCTAACAAGTTTATAACTTTTTCATTGTTCTCATCAGATTAACCCCTATGCATAGATGAATCTTTTTTTGGGAACCTATGAAATTATAATAATCTTGAGAACTAACGCACCATATGTTATTTCATATGATTTTTTTTTCATCTAAAGTTAAGATTTAAAATATTGATTAACATATATGTGTTTCACGTTTAACAATGTGAACCCTTTTTAGCTTATTTGTAAACAAAAGTTGCACGTAAAAAAGTCTTACATTGTGAACCGTATGCATATGAAGCAAACACATAAATATATGTTCATTAATACGTTAAATACTAGCTTTAGATGAGAAAAAATCGTGTGGAACAATATCTTATGATAAAAGTTCTTACGGTTATCACAATTTATGGATATATAGAGAGAGAGAGAGGAAAAAAAAATAAGAAGTTTCAAACGAGAACGCTAACTATTTAAGAAAACAAGAAAAATGTCGTTAATATACAAAATCACATGCAATTTTACATTAAATGAAAGCAGACGACGTTTGAGGCCACTTAAGTCGTAGGACAAAGTCGTCCAAATCATGTATGATTTGTTACATGAATCATATATGATTTTGTACTTAAATAGTTGGTGTTCTCCTTTGAACCTAGCCCTATATGTATACATACATATATACATACAAACACACACACACACATATATATATATATATATATACACGTTTCAAATGCAACCTATCACATTTGTACAAACACTGCAACCCAATCAATTGAGATATTTATGGAAATGATGAGAGTTCATTTATTATGATTTGAATATTTATGAAAGATGACTACGATTCGAAATTATGATAAATACTTTATATTAGAAAACAATAAAACTTTTATGAAATTATATATTCATCAAATTAAATGAACGATTGAGATCGAGTTGTATTAGTTATACAAATATAAAAGATTGCATAATAATTCACCTATATATATATATATATAATCAAATGTAAGATTTAGTAGGGAACTTACACAAGTAGTAGTAACGAAGAGAAAAGAAGCGAAAAGGAAGCAAAGAGACTTCATTTGATTTGATGGATGATTTTGAATGGTAAAATAAATGTTCGAAGGCTCTATTTATACAACAATAAAGTCATTCTAATCAAACATCCCATTTACCATGTTTCCTATACAAATTTATTCTTACATATTCGCATACTCATGGATTGGGTTGATCGGGTTGAAAACATTTGAACAACCTAACTCAATGCTTGCGGTTTGGAAAATCTTAACCCAAACCAAAGTGCAACCCAACTCAATCCAAACCATATGGGTTGGTCGGATTGATTCTAAGCTTGAATATGTTATTTCTCTACTCATAATCTCTTTTTCATCATCAACCATTTGATACAACTTATCCATACTTCTTACGTATATCACATTCAGTTAATTTTCTCAATTTATTCACAGTTACTGAACATATATACGAATGAGTTATATAGATATGTGAATAGATTTAAAATATGTGTACGTGATAGTGTAATTATCTAATGTATATATTAATAGAAATTCAACAATCATATCAGTTCCAAAAAAGGAAAGGATAACGGGTTCATCGGAATGGGTTGAGTTCAAATAGTAGTAACTCAATATCAACACAATACCTCCGATTTGAAATTTTTACAACTCGACTAGAAATCAGGTTGCTTCTACTTGAGTTATTTCGTGTTTGGTTAGGTTAGGTTGATCGGGTTTTTGAGCACCCCTACCTTCCATCTCCAACATACGTATATAATATTGTGTTTTCTTGGATTACCAAATTAATTAGGTCTATATTTATTTATATATAATCACATGATCGTGTTCTAACAGGCCTGCCATGGCGGCTGCCGTCACACACCAACACTCCATGACGTGAGCCCAACGGTATTCCAATGTCCTGTTATACATGTATCAAGATGATCAGTAATAAATGGAACGAAGTCCATATTACAGATGCATAAAGAATCTCTAGCCTGAAGCTTGGGTCTAGGCCCGGTTTTAGAATCCCCAGTGGGTCTTTTTTCAACCGCAAAACCTGGTCCGACATAGGCATAAAAAAAGTCCACGCCGTTTTCACTGAAAACGGGATTGGAAGGTTCGTGTTTAGACCTGAAAAAGATTGGGCCTTGTGCATTGCTGGTTCATACCATATTATATTAAAAATCTTACAAATTAAAACAAGAATCAGTAAAAAATATCACTTAAATAGAATCATTTTTTTACGGTTGGGTAAATGTTAAAACACGTAAAAGAAATTGGGACCAACTTAAATTGCAGGAGTTGAGGGGATTCCGATGTGAGATTTGAAATAGGGCCTCGAAACTTAAATTTAATATAATATACAGTATAAATTTCTATATTTTGTTTTATTTACTATTTGTTTAGCCGATCTGTAATCTTGATACATTTAACAGAGTCTGCAAAAAGACTGAAACAACTCTGTTAAATTGGATCCAGCACTAAAAAGGAGCAATCTTAAATAATAAATAGTTTGGTATAAATGTAGGGGCAAATTGCATGAAAAAAGTAACGTACTTTAATTTGATTCCTAATTTGAGTAACGTACTTTCAAAACTTTCATTTTGGTACTTAAGATGTAAAGTTTTAAACATTTAAGTACATGGGTAACAGGTTGAAGCATTAACCAGTTACCATGCTGATGTGACGAGTGATGTGGTAGACTGGTATCCAACTCAGTATTATTTGATGAAGCATTAACCAGATACCACATCAACATGGTAACCGGTTAATGCTTTAACCGGCTACTCGGATATTTAAATGTTTAAAATTTTGCATCTTAAGTACCAAAATATAAGTTTTGAAGTATGTTACTCAAAATAGAAATCAAGTTAAAGTATGTTAGGGGTTGTTTGGCAGTTGCTGAATGGTTTGATACAGAATGATTAAGTGATCAGAATGATGAAGATGCTCTCATGATATAGTACAAAATGAAATATAATCATTTGATTGTTATTTACAACGAAATTAAGACGTTGAGTGGTTAAGAGATGCCCAAAATACAAAATCGTTCAGAGGGTTTTAGAACCATTAAGATGCAAACTTTTTTTTGTCAAACGATATTCACCACTTAACAATTCAGATATTGCATCTTAATAGAACTATTAAAAGGTAAACAAATAAACCCCAACTCACTTTTTTTTCATGTAATTTACCTTAAATATATTCGAAGAAAATAAGAAACATGAATTTATTATATTGGACTCAAAATGAGGCCATTTTATCATATGATATTAAAGTTGAAATGGGATTTATGTTACCAAATATAGCAAGGCATGTCACATGCATACTCATGTCACATGCATCATATGCATGTGGCATACAATGTATTTATATCTATTGAACAAAACCAACATAACACAAACCAAATCTCAAAGAAGTCTTCATTTCAAGATTTTCTTTTTGTTACATTTTTAATATTAATTTAAACTATATTATAAATCATTTGACAGTAATTTTTAGAAACTATTTTTTATACATAAAGTACTGTTTATTGATGTATATTATTTAAAATTCAAGATTACAAGTAGATTGTGCGTAGATGCAACTTATTAAAGCTTCATGTTTGAATTCGTGTAACTAACTGCAAATAAACATAAAAAAAGATAGGATAAACATCTTACTTTAAATATAAAAAATCTAACATATGATTAGGATAATCATTGAGTTATAACATAATACTTAATTATTATATTATTAAACCAAAAATAAATTACTTCGTTAATAAACTTAAATTAAATTATAATAAAAAAAATAACTTTTAAATAGTTAATTTGATACTATTACCATATATTTTTGCAAATTTTTATGATATCTTTAAATTTATATCGAATAAAAACATTTATCGCTTTTTTCAAAAACACATAGAATCGAAATGTATCTCGTTGCTTTGCACGAGTACTCTTCTAGTGTATATAAATAAAGATATGATCTATCTCATTTATTTAATCTGAAAAGGAAAATAATAGTGACTTAGATGATTATGACTCGTTTATCAGTACAAACTACTGTTAACAACATATTTAGTTGTGACAACTTTTGTTTATCGTTATAGTTTTTTTATATGATCGTTTGTCTTATAACCTGGTAATGAACTATTTTGTAGGACGCTTGATTTCATGTTTAAACCGAAATTGTATGTCGTATGCACACGCATTTTCAGATAAAATAATGAACACGTATACATTTTGTCACAACCAGAACAAGAACTCAATTCAAACCCCATTGCTCAATTGGTCCCACAACCATCATGGAGGAGGTAAACACTGATTCGCCGGTTTGATTTAAACCTGAGGCAAGGCGCCACAAGGCTTTGAAAAATTTATCGATTCATAGATGCAGGATGTCTAGAATAATACTGGGTTAATGAAGAAATAATCTGATATAGAAAAGATATATGACGTCTTCATCGACAGACGATGTCAACTGATACGACTTCAAACTCCCTTCTCGTCAACACTCTTCATAATGCTATGTATCATGTCGACCGTCATAGTTTTAAACTAATTCTCTTATCATCAGAGCACAAGTCGTGGGTCTTTTGAAAAGCATTCTCTCTTCTCTCGAAATAAAAAGAAATATTTGCGTACAAACCTTTCGAAATCTTGCCTTCGGGTGAGATCAGTGGCGGACCCACGTTAAGGATTCTTGGAGCTGGGGGGTCAAATGCCCCCGATCAAACCTTAAAAATAATCCAAACTTATTGTCTTCTGACGGCTGACGCTACCGAGCTATTTCTTCTAGTTCCCGTCAAGAATATTGAAATTCTCTTCAGGGACCGAATTACATTTTCAAAGAGGCCCAAAAGGAGAATGTTATAAGGTTCATGTACTAAATTGCTGATAGCCTCCAAGAGTCCAAGATGACTTCTTGAATTCTTTTGTTGACCCGATTTATGACCTAAATTATAATTTCAAAGCGACCAGAAATATAAGTCTACGGATATCTGATGGTGCTTGACGTGGTTCATGACAGAACAAAAATTCGTTGTTCGAAACTTAACATGACGACTAGATATTTAGACCGTGACACATTGGACTGGGTGGATCAGAAACGCAGTTTATCTGTCTTATCAGAATAGATGGAACAAAAACCAGACTGTCGTTTTCCTAATACTTTTGTAAGCATATGGTGGTAGTTCGTGATTCGCTGGAACCCGAAAAAAGACTAAGGTGTTGTTTGGTTTGCAGGAATGGAATGGATTTGGATTTCAAATTCATTCTAATACCATGTTTGGTTTGTTGCATTGTCCGGATCTGAAATCCTAGAATTTAATTGAAATCCTACAAAAATAGAACATATATTTGAATATATAGACCTAGACTGCCTTTGAGATACAACATAATTCTCAGCATCACATCTCAATGATCATAACCAAATACCGGCACCGCCAGCAGTGGCAGATCCAAGTTATTTGTCGAGAGGGTACACTTTTAAGTTAGATCGTAGCCCCATAACCGATGTGTTTTTAGCTGAATTCCACCATTTCAAGATATTTTTCGAGGTTTTGGTTGATTTCGATAGATTTTTCCCGTTAATTTCAGTACGTTTTCAGTTTTTTGATTGATTTCAAACAACTTTTCTATTTTTAGTTCATATTTCTTGTATTTTCCAATATCACGAAACATCCCCTTGAAGTTTAACGAATACAACTTTAATACCAAACATATTCTATTTACAGAAATAATCAAACAGCAAACCAACCTAGTTGATGAACCAATCTGTCTTCTATAAAAAAAATCTACCAATTTATCAGTTACGAAAAACATAATATTAAATCAGTATCCAATAAAAGTGAACCAGCCAAATTGGTGAACCACTCAAACTTCGATAAAAAAAATGTTATTTTAATATAAGATAAGTTGCATGAAAAAGTAATGTACTTTAACTTGATTTTCATTTTGGGTAACGCATTCTCAAAATTTCCATTTTGGTATGTAAGATGTAATGTTTTAAACATTTAAGTACTCAGGTAACTGGTTGAAGTATTAATCGGTTATCATGCTGATGTGGCCAGTGATAGAATGAAATTGAGTTGAATAGCAAATAATACTGAGTTGGATACCACATTACTTGTCACATCAGTATGGTAACCGGTTAATGCTTCAACCAGTTACCCGAGTACTTAAACGTTTAAAACTTTACATCTTAGGTATCAAAATGAAAGTTCTGAAAGTACGTTACCCAAAATCGGAATCAAGTTAAAGTGCGTTACTTCTTCATGCAATTTGACCTTTAATTTATCAGTTACTAAAACCAGTTGAATTAAATATACGCACAATGCAGCGAGATACACATCGATCTTAATGTTTCGTTTACTCTTATCTCTATCGATGTCAAAATACGATTTTATGCCGTTTTAATAAAACGATAATGTTTTTATTTTTGAAAATATAATATAAATTTGAAGATGTCATACAAAATTGAAAAAATAATATAGTATATTTTTTTAAGTTTAATAACGAAACAATTTATTTTGGTATAATAATATAATTTTTTATAAAAATAATAACTAAGTATTCTGTTATAACTCAATAATTATTCTAATTATATTTTAGATTTTTTAAAATTAAAACGAGATATTTATCATGTATTTAATTATGTTTATCTGCAATTAGTTACACGAATTCAAACATAAAGCTTTAATAAGTTGTAGTTACAGACAATCTACTTGTGATTTTAAATTTTAAATAATATATATAAATAAACAGTACTTTATGTATAAAAAATGATTTTTAACAATTTTTATCAAATGCTTTATAATACAGTATAAGTATAAGTATAGGTATAGATATAGATATAGATATATATATATATATATATAGATATAGATATAAATTACACATGGAAATGTATACAACTCGATCCAAATTGGTTCCTCGAGCCAAGTATTAAAGGTTAAGCCAATTTTCATCATCCAATTCGGATTTTAATTATACAAAATAACACAAAAAAAAATAAAAAATAATCAACTCTAATATCAAGTCTCCCATCTGATTCTTATATCCACCGCCACCGTCCCCTTAACTCCACCGGTGCCGGAAACCCAAATCTCCGCCGTATTAGCAGGACCCATCTCGCCGCCGTCGACTTTTCCGGCAACACATTTACGCCACTTGTTCTCCGATCAAATCCAACCCGACAACCAGAAACGAAAGCCCTTGAAACAATAAGAAATAGAAATGGATTCCGTGGGCCGATAACAGACTTCGGGTCGCCGCCGTTAGCAGCAGAAACGCTAGCGCCAGTTCTTTCCGGTAGATTCGGTTTTTCTTCTTCGGCTCGATCGGAGCTTCTTGTTCTTTCAATTTCCCGAGCATTTCGAGCCCGGATTCCGATAATCTCCGTTGGATTTTATCTTCGCTGAAACTCTTGGATTCCCTTTCGGCGAATGCTAGTAGGTCGGATTCCGATGACCGGCCGGTCTTCTTGGTGACTACCCATTCATATGCGCTTCCGAGCTGGAACAGGCCGGAAACCATAGCGTTGAATTTGGTTACGGACATCGTGTTTTCGAATAATAAGTACGGCATTAAGAACGGGAATGCTTTCGGTGCCGGAAGGATGTTGAGGATGGACATGGTTACGGGCACGTAACAAATCACCCAAATCGGCAATTCGGCTTCGGGGATGAACATCGTTAAGGGAAGGATTACGCAAAAGAGCGTAAACGAGTAGAACGGTAGAATTAGCTTCCGTAAAAGAAAGAACAAGAAGATCAAGTTCGCCTTTTTCCATTTCGATATCTGCAGCCGAAAACCCGATGGTTACATGAAGGTCAAGAGATAAACCGGTTCTATACAACGCCAAAGATATCTAAATGTCATAATAGCTTGTTTTATAGTACTTAAGTTTATAGGACCAGACAATTGTACAGTCTCGTACACAGGACGAAACAAGTTCTTACAACACTTTTAAAATAAAGTGTCTTATTAGCTATTTTATATAACACTTTTGAAAAGTGTCAGATGCGCCTTTACAAGACACTTGTTTTCATAAGACATTATTTGTCGTATAAAAATCTAAAAAACTTGTTATGGCGCCCAAAAGTATACTGTAAACTTAATGTAAAAGGACACATGGTTTGATCCGGTAAACTTAAGTCCTATAAAACAGTCTGACAGAAAAATTTAGACATATTTGATGTCCAACTGAAATGTGTTATAATACGTCTTAACAAGTTTTCAAGACACTTTTGAAATAGAATGTTCTGTTAATTTTTTATAGGATACTTTTGAGAAGTATGAACACATCCTTTTATAGGACAATTTTTCAAATAATATCATATACAAAACTAAGAGTAACCAAAGGAGCTTTGGTCTAACGGTATCGTAGTCTTTGGCCTCCAAGTAGGTCTGAGGTTCAAACTTCACCAAAGTTAAGGAGGATGTGTGAGTTTATTTGTTGTATTTGTTGTATATAAAACTTCAAAAAAAAACCTAAGAGTAAATCAAGTTTCGTCCCTGTGGTTTGTAAAAAACTGCGATTTTCATCCCTATGGTTTAAAATTTTCGATTTTCATCCCTATGGTTTAAAATTTTCGATTTTTGTCCCTATGGTTTGTAATTCATTGCTATTTTTGTCCTTATAATTTACAATATATTGTTGTTTCGGTCCCTATGGTTTATGATTCTTTACTGTTTTGGTCCCTTATATTTTAAGGTAGGAAGCAACCCAAGGACGAAAATAGCAATACAAACCATAGGGACAAAAATTGCAATTTCCAAACTTAAGGGACGAAAATCAAAATTATTAACAAACCACTAGGACAAAAACCGTAATTTAATCAAAAACTTATAATTCATAAGTTTACTAAAAAAACCTGTTAGTACATCCAAAAACGTCCTATAAACTTAATGTAAAAGGACACAATGGCTTGGTATTAGACATATTTAACGTCCTAGAAAACCCGATTTTGTCGTACGGAATCTAATAAAACAATAAAACGAACCTTGGATTTAAGGATAGCCGGGAGGCAAAGTCTAAAGAGTTGCATCGGACCCGAATGCCATCGATGTTGTTGCTTCTTGTAAGCTTCATACGACTCCGGCAACTCGCAAAGAACTTTAACGTCATTGAGATAAATGAATTTCCAACCGTTCAAATGGGCTCGAACCGCAATATCCATATCTTCGACCGTCGTTCTTTCGAGCCACCCACCTGATTCTTCCAACGCCTGAATTCTCCAAACACCGGCGGTCCCGTTGAACCCAAAGAAACTAAGGAAATGGCTGTTCACTTGTTGCTCAACTTCAAAATGGAAGCAAAGATTGATGTTTTGTAGTCTTGTAAGTAGATTTTCATCTTTATTTACAAAAGACCACCTGGCTTGAACAAGACCCACATCTGGTTTCCCCTGAAATTGTGAATTAAACCCACCAAAAGTTACTATAAATGAACAATCTTGATCACCCAAAAAAGGAGAAATAGTTGCTAAAAATAGAAGTGATTGAGTTGCCCATTGGTCACTACAACAAAAATCGGTTTTCTAAGAATGGAAATATGTACAGATGTTGTAATAGACTGCTTTATTGGACTTAAGTTTATAGGACCAAACAATTCATAAAGCAACACTTCAGCAAGTTACTAAAGTGCTACTTGCGAAATCTTGACGAGGAAGTGTATTACGCAACTTGCTAAAGTGTTGCTTGGCACGTCAACATTTCGCAAGTAGCACTTTAGCAAGTTGCTAAAGTGTTAATTATGAATATTAAGTTCATAAAAATTAGATTTCACAAGTTACTAAAGTGCTACTTGCAAAATCTTGGTTATTTTTTTTTTTTTTTAATAACCTGGATATCCAACTCGCTATGCGAGCCGACTCATCCCAGGGCGACCACCTGCTTTGCAGATAGCCCGGAGTCACCGCATTTGAACCTCCCACAAGGGGATTTTTATTCCTCCTTGGATTTGAACCTGGGACCTCCTGGTACTTTTGACCTTTGGAGCCAAGCTCAAACCAATCAGGCACTAAAAAAAATCTTGGTTATTTCGATCAATTGAGTAGAGAAGTGGCAACAAAATGAGCTTAGAAGGGTCCAGAATGGCTATTTTGGACAATTTTCCGATTTTTAGACATTTTTGTAGTCCTATAAACCCGATTTTGTTGCAGTGATAAGAATGATTCAGTCATTACCTTAAAGTGAGGGACGGTGAGTTGAAGGAAATCAGGATTCGGTTGGAAATCCGCGTCCAAAATGGCGACGAATTCATAGTTTTTGACATAATCACAAGACATGGCTGAATGGAGATTCCCAGCTTTGTATCCTGTTCTTATGAATCTGTGTCTATAGATTATGTTAACCCCCTTTTCTCTCCATGAATTCACTTCATTTCTGATCAAAATCTGTAGTAGTTCATCACTTGAATCATCCAAAACTTGAATCAAGATCCTATCTTTTGGCCAATCCAGCTGACAAGCGGATGCAATCGACTGTTGATACACCTTCAGTACACAAAACCCACAAAAACGATTAGCATAAAGATCAATAATCACGTGTGAATATGTGGAACCCCATTAGATTACTCTCCGAAAGAACCCTTTGAGGAAAGAATGGAGGTTCCGTTCCGACATGTATTGAGAAGAAATGGTACAAGTCTAGTTGATGTGGCACTCTAAAACGTCCCCTCCAAAGAGGCTAGACCATTACATATTGCCCTAGAGTACGTTGAGTCTCTTGGTAGATCTTGGCTCTGAAACCATGTCAGAAAATGTAGGACCCACGGAATTACCCTCTTCTACCCTTTAGGTACATGAATTACCCACTAGGTAAATTTTGGCTCTGTTACCATGTTAGAATATGTGGAACCCCATTAAATTACCATCAACCCTCTAGGTACATAGATTACACACTAGGTAGATTTTGTCTCTGATACCATATTAGAATATGTGGAACCCCATTGAATTACCATCTACCCTCCTAGGTACATGGATTACCCTCTACGTAAATTTTGGTTCTCATGTCATGTTATAATATGTGGAACCCATTGGATTACCATCTACCCTCTAGGTACATGGATTACCCACTAGGTAGATTTTGGCTCTGATACCATGTCAGAATACGTAAAACTCCATTGGATTACCATCTACCCTCTAGATAAATGGATCACCCACTAGGTAGATTTTGGCACATGTTAAAATATTTGGAACCACATTGGAGTACCATCTACCCTCTAGGTAAATGGATTACCCACTAAGTAGCTTTTGGCACTGACACCATGTTAGAATATTCAAAACCCCTAGAGATTATTTGCTAGGTAGATTTTGGCTCTGATACCATGGTAAAATATGCGGAAAGTGGAACTAACCCTGTTGGATTACTCGCAGGGTAGAGTATGGCTTTGATACCATGTTGAAAGCAGAACTAACCCCATTGGATTATTCAAAAGAGTCTAACAATGATCCAAATATAACTGATATGGGACTCTAACAAATCACATCAAAATCAACAAGAAATTGAGAAATAAAACCAGGAAGAAGAAAATGTCAAGTTTGTACCTCTCTTTCATTGCACATAGGGATCTGAACAAGAACCATGGGAAAAGTGGAAGCATCTTCAATATCATAATCTTCACCATCAATCACTGGCTTTATGTTCTTGAATTTGATCCAGAAACACCCAATTCCAAGTATAAATCGATCCAGCGATTGAATCATGAAAAGAACAACACAAAATTGTGATAACATCGTGATGGATGGAGCAACATAATCAACTCTGAATGAAATCCAAGCCATATATGACCAATGAAACAGTCCCAAAACTTCAGTGGGATTAAATTCATGAATGAAATGCAAATCCCAATTCTGGAAATAAGCAACGAACTCAACGATCAAAGCTACGATCGAAATGGCGAGAAATGCTCTGATGAATCTGTAGATAATTCGCTCTTTATACTGCACTTCATCTCTACCGGAATCAGCTAAAGCGATTCGTTTCTTAACAGAAATCAAAGTTTTCGAGAACCCAATTGCTAACCATGGGAAGAATGAGAGGATTTTATGAGCTTTTAACAAAAGCATCCATGAAAACTGCTTAGTGCTTGCTGTTTTCTGCTTTTCAAGGAACACAGATGAATCTGAATCACTGACTTCCACTAATGAAATGTTGGTTGATTTGTCGATTGTGACTACGACTGAACTCGGTGCCATTTTGTTGGCAAAACCCAGATGGATTTTGGGGGAAAAACAGATCGAGAAATGAAGGGGAAATGGAAAGGGGGTTGAATTTTTAGGGTTATGGAAAATGCGAAGCCATGGGTGAAATCTGGATCTTGAGAAGAAGAAGAAGAAGGCGGCAGGTTTAACTAACAGCCAAAATGTGAAATTGGGTGGAGAAATGGAAATGGAAGATGGGAGATTAATGGCGAAAGTGTGTATTAATAACGATGGATGTTTTAAGAAAGGAAAGATTGGGATCAAAATTTGGTCAACTCTGTGTGTATTTTTCAATCTCATGTGCTGTAAACATAAGTTGCAAGTAAATACACGTTTTCCAATTTCTAGTTTGAGGTGGCGTTTGTTCTTTAAGAAGTGTTATTTTATTTTTTATTTATAAGAGGTGGTGTTGAAGTATGAAATTTAAATCAGTAAGTTTATTTTTTTCTGAATTTGTTTAAATTGTTTATTTTACTTAAAATGATTATAGTGTTGAATTTATAGGTAAATTTTATACAATTTCACATATTTATTCATCATCATTGTGAAATTTACATTTAAATTATATTAGATGGATACTCGCACAATGCAACGAGATAAATCTCGGTTTTAATGTTTAGTTTTTATTATTTGTGTCTATCGATATAATGTGATTTTATGTGGTTTTGGGAAAGCAATAACGTTTTTATTTTTGAATGAAATATAAATTTGAAGATAGTATAAAATTTTTTAAAAAAAAAGATTAAATCGATATTAATATCAAATAAACTATTTAGTAGCTCTTGTTTTTTTTTGTGTAACTTCTTTAATTCAATTTTTTATTATAACTTAATTTAGATTTAACAACAAAGTAATTTAGTTTTGGTTTAATAATATAATTTTTTATAAAGATAATAATTAAACATTCTGTTAGAATTCAATGATTATCTTAATTACATTTTAAATTTTCTATATTTAAAGTGGATGTTTATCTTGTATTTGATTATGTTTATCTACAGTTAGTTACACGAATTTAAAAATAAAGCTTTAATATTGTACTTATGTAAAATTACTTGTAATCTTGAATTTTAAGTAATATGCATCAATAAACATTTTTTTATGTATAAAAAATGATTTTTAAGAGTTTTTATCAAATGCTTTATAATATAGTATAGATAATTAACGTTTATTTAAATGAAAATATGTCATTACTGATGGTGAACACATTTACATTCTATTAAAATACATTAATTGAGAGAGATGAAGATTGATCTATTAAGGATCGATTGAGAGAAATTATCAATTAAGGTTAATCGATTGAGAAATCGTCATTGTTAAATATTTGAAGAACAATAAGAGGTAAATAAGAGATTGGTTTACCTCTTATCAAATAATAGGAAAATAAGACATAAATGCCTTTGAAAACAATATAATATATATATATATATATATATATATATATATTGGATATTTAAATAATATAATTAATATTGTAGTCTCTAAAATCAAGAAATTGTTAGAATTATATATATATATATATATATATATATATACATATATATATATAGAGAGAGAGAGAGAGGTATGATCTTTTGTTGACTAATTCATTTGTGTTAACTATACAAACTCTCTAGACCAATAGAAATCAATCTGGTACCATAGTTCATAGATTAAATGATATGGAACATGTTTGACATTTCTTGTAAGAAATATATTTTTTAATGATTGTTGATACGAAAAAAAATTATTTGTATCTGATTTAGGGGATAAAAATCAAATTTTACATCTGAAAAATGTCAAACATGCCTCCGAGGGCGATCTTTGTGGTTAGTTTGGTAAATCTTGAAAAAAATGGCTATTTTGTTAATATATGAGATATTATTTTATCATTTTAATGAAAACCCCTTACATAAATCTTACAAAACAAAATTAATTTTTTTTTATTATAATTATTTACCGTATAAAAAATCACAATTTTAAAATAAATTATTTATAGGGAAAAAAACGTAAGAAAACCTTAAAACAAGGGGGGGGACATGGGTTAAAAACAAAGGCCACCACGATATAAAGACATATCTGGAATTTTGAAATTATTTAAAAAATATTTATTTTATTTTTAAAATTAATATAAATTAGCTGTATTATTGTATTTCCATCTTAATTATTAGCTGGATTATTACTGTAATTTCTATTTCTGGAAAACCAATTTTGAGTAGACACGTGTCCACCTATTTGTCTTTTTCTTGTTTTTCATTTCTAAAAGAAATACGTTTAATTTTTTTTACGTTTTTAGTTCCTATGATTTGTTAAAGTTTACGACTTTCATCCTTGAGGTATCTTTTTTTTATAAAGCATATCAACTTTAAGTAATCCTAATGTGGGCGTATTTGGTCGCCCACAATCGGCCCAAAAGGGAAGAGTCTTTCCCAGTTAGAGATGGCCAAATGGGTCCGACCCGGTTCGGGACCAATTTGGGACCGGAACCGACTTAAAACCGGCCCAGCTCGGGACCAGTTATAGGCTCGGCATGGGATCTGCCCGATTTATATATATATATATATTTACATCCATTATAATTCGCAACCCAAAAAATATATACATATATTAGTCCAATTTACAGCCCACTGCCCAAAATTAATCTAACAAGTCCAAAATTCATCCAACTAGGTTGGACACTCTATGAGTTATATAATAGTCCACATATACGACTCAATTCCATTTTGTCCCCTTATTCCCTTAACATGAGTACATTGAAACAACTAGATCCAGCATTATTGGACGTCGTCAAATATTGTTGGACGTTGCTACTGCTGGACATCTTTGAAAAAACCTTCAATAGTATGGACCATGTCTTGTTATTTATTTAATTATATATATATATATATATATATATATACATGGCCAACAATTTTGAGGAGCTTGTAGGAGTTGGGGTATTTATTTGATTTCTTTTAGGAAAAGATAAATATAGTGATCATACATGCAAATGTATGATGTCAATGATCGATATGCACTTTAGTGTATGGTTCTCTCTTGCATAGATGTTCTTAGAAGTTGGAACCACAAATGTTTAGAAGTTGTTTTTATTTCTTCATATAAAGTTCTGTTTTCAGTGCACAAATAAACATATGAAATATGCGTATTACTAATCTGTCAGCCCAACCCAATCCACCTTAACCCGCAAGGGTTGGGATGAGTTGGGTTATACTTTTGAACGGATTGAGTTGTGTTGAGATTTTTCAAACTGTCATAATTGGTTTGAGTTGTAAAATTGTCAAAAACCGCCCAACTCAACTCGCGTACACCCTTAACTATATGGTGGCAACCAATAAAATAATACGATGGTGCCTTTCAGAAACATACACTTTCCTCTTACAAAGAAACCATGATACGGTGACCCGTGTGATCGTATCAATCAATGTAGATCCACTCCTGATCATAAGGACGAAAATAACAACAAATTATAAACCTAAGGTGTGAAAATCGTAATTTCTCAAAAATAGAGGGACAAAAATAGAGATTTTTAGCAAACCATGGGGACTAAAAATGTAAATTTTTACTGAAATTGAAGGTGTCGGTTATAGTAGTTGTAATTGTGTAGAAATACGGTGTATGGAGCCGCCGGTATGAGTGGAGGACAGGACGCCGAGATTGGTTCTAAATTCGGACCACGCGCTCACTACCAACCTATGACCACGCGCCGACCGCCAAACCCCACGCGCATTTTGAATCACCTTTTAAATTTTAATAATAATTATTTAAGATTTTAAATACAATTATAGAAGAGAGATCTTTTACAAATCTTACGATTCGTATACTTTAACTTGATTTTTATGTTGGGTAACTTACTTTTAAGACCTTCATTTTTGTATCTAAGATATAAAATTCTAAACATTCAAGTATTTGGATAACTGATTGAGTTGATATTGTATCACTCGTCACATCAGCATGATAACCGATTAATGTTTCAATCGATAACCCGGATACTTACAAGTTTAAAACTTTACATCTTAGGTATCAAAATGGAAGTATTGAAAGTATGCTACATAAAATAAAAATCAAGTTGAAGTACGTTATTTTTTCATGTAATTTATTTTTTTTAATTTTGGTTTACTCTTTAAATTATGTTTTTTATATATTAAATAATATTTTTCTATAAATAGATACTGAATAACAAATACTAATTTTAATAAATAAAATATATAATTAATAAATAAGAAAAATAAATAGGTAATAATTTGCTCACTAAGACCATGCATGTGTTAGCATCAATTGTAGTCCAAGAATCTGTTTTTTTAATCATAAATCACAATAAATACGTTATTATTAATTATTTAATTTACTTAATATAATTTTGCTTTTATTTTAATTGTATCAAATAATAAATTATAAATAAATTAATTAAATAATTTATATGCATTTGTATTATTAGTGGCGATCCACCTTTTGCGATTTCTCATGCTCCTATTTTAAATTCTTCTATTTTTTTATTGTTTTTAAAATAATATTTAACGAAAAGAATAATATCTTTAATAATAATAATAATAATAAATTCAATATTTTATTATATAGAAATAACTACAAATTCTCGTCAGATTTTCGTAATTTTATAAGTTAGGCATTTCAATAAATTAATATTATTTATATATTTTTTACGATTATAATTAAGGGGTGTTTGAGATTGCTTATTTAAAATAACTTATGTTTTTTTGTAAAGTGCTTACTAACTTATGTGGTATTAAACCGGAGTTTTGTAAAACGTGTTTGGATTAATTTATAGCGGTACCAAAAAACAATAAGCTGATAAGTTATTTTTTAATGTTTAGCAAATTTTGTTTATATATGTAAAATGACCAAAAAGAACAGTCTTCCATATTATTAACTTATGGGAGTGTTTGAGATTGCTTATTAACTTATTTGATTTTTTAACATGTAAAAAATTAGTTTTCATCATTTATAATAATATTTTTGACAAAAATTTATATCAATAACATTAATAATTTATATCAATAAGA